ATGCACTAGTCAATCGAAGTCCCGCCCCCCCCCCCACCCCCGGGGATATACCGGGTTTTAACGGGACTTTGCGGGGGAAATACAGGCTTTTAACAAACGTCGCTTGTTTGCTACCCGGGGTTTTAACACTGACTTAAATAGCCGGGGCATCATAGCCGGGAATTTAACGCCATTTTTAACGCAATTGAAAAGCGCCGGCTCGGGAAAGTGATCGTGTGCACAGTCTTAGATTTGTTTGTACTTTGTATATATTTATTTGGGAAATTATTATATTAAGATATTAAGCGCTACTCTTGTTGTTTGCATGATTTGAGTGATGTATTACCTGGTTTATACCGTGAATTTATATTTTACCCTATTAACATACCGGTATATATGACCTGGCTTATGCGTACTTTAATAATTAAAAACGGGATTATTTTACAAAGAAGCAAAGCATCTGACAACTATTGGCTTCATTTGAACCATTCTCCTGTATTAATTTTATAATATGCATACGAAATTTTTAAAGAACGAACCAGGTAAAGTATTTTATTATATAAACATAAGTGTTATATACAGTTTGTGAAAATATCATTTGTTGTAAAACGCATTGCCACGGACGTTTTATTGTTTTTCACTGAATTTTGTTTATATAATAAACAGAAAAATACATGGGTGCTTGGAAATACCAGATTTATTTCTCGTGTTGAACATATCTCACTCGTTCGCTGCCCTCACTCGTGAGATATCATGTTCAACATTGAAATAAATCTGGTATTTCCGCCGCGCACCCATGTATTATTCTCTATAACTTTGGCGGAGTTTTAATGGAAATATTAATGTTAGGTTTTTTATAAAACTGCGGAAATTTGAAAAAAAAACACCCAAATGTTTAGGCCCAGTAACCCGGGGATTTTAACAATTGAACAAGATTTTTTAGCCGAGATTTTAACAACCGTGAAATGTTAAAATCCCCGCTTAGTCCCGGGGGTCGGGGGACCGGGCTTTCGATTGACTAGTGCATTATAAATATAGACTTGGATTATACAATATAAAAAATGACATTTTTAAAAATCATTGTTTGTGTACACGCATTATAGTAAATTAGATCACAGGTAAAATACTACAAGAAATTAATCTATCCGGAGTGCATGCAGATAATAAGTATTTAAAAAAATCTATCCTAAACCTAGGGCCATAACTTACGCCATTTTTTTTCGGGGGGGGGGGGGTGCATATTCACATATTCGTGTTCTGCCCCACTGATTTCTTTTGAAAGCAATTGTTTATACGGTATGTGAACATGAATATATGAATATGCACCCCCACCCCAATTGTCGCGTCTAGTTACGGCCCTGCCTATAAAGGTATACTATGTTATTTTTATCCATGTTTATTTACAGTTCTTGAAGTGCATGCATATAAAACAATTTTCTTTGTGTTCAACGAAGAAAATCTTAGAGCTGTAGAGTAAAGTAGGATTGAGATTATTTGTTGGTAAGTTCAGGTTGACGCTAAAGTTGAATGAACGTGAGATCGCACTTTTTCAAGCACCTATTATGCTTGTAAGTACAGGGTCAGGGACGATGACGTAGTCCTTTGATCAAATCTACCAAGAAGATGCCATTCAGTCCAAATACATGCGGCAGTTGTACGAAAGCCGGATAGCGCTATCTGCTGGATAGTTGAACCGTTGTAAAAATACTTCAAAGCTATAAAAGTACGGATATTGCACGCTACCGGAAAGTAAGTCACCTTGGCTATAGAAGCTCGTTTTGAAACTTGAGACGTTCAGCGTTCGTTAGAGAGTTTGAGCAAGACAACGAAGTACGAAAACGAAGGCATACTTGACAATTTTTGCCGCCTGCACATTATCTTGCGCATACTGAGTTGGACGTCACTGGTAGTTGCTCAACGTGTCTTCCCATGTGTCGCTGTTTATGAATACTGACCATAATTCTTGCCTTGATCCAGAAGGGAACAACGAGACATGAAACTATATCCCGTCTTTGTCCTTCTGCCTTCGTGCAGAACGAAGTTCACAACGAATTTTGCCAAAATATTCGTTGAGAACGAAGGCAGAAGAACGAAGACGGGATATGGATTCATGTCTCGCTGTTTTATCCTGATCAGGGTAAGGATTTGAATCAGCATTCACAAACAGCTAGACATGAATCTCTAATCTGTCTTCACTCCTGACCCTAAACTCAGAATGCGCAAGATAATGTGCAAGACAGGCAAAAATTGTCAACCACGTCGTCGTCGTCCGACTTCGTTCTCTTGCTCAAACTCTCTGTTGAGGACGGCAACGCAACGACAAAGGCCGGAATAAAATCATTCAAATAAACAATTGTAAAGAAAGTTTGTACAGACTATTGTTGATCGTATTAATTTAATACATGGTTAGCTTGAATTAGTGACTTTTTTGTTGAGAAAGTTATAGTGTACAGTATAGTACTGAGCTAATTTGCAATCATATTTCGCGTCTTAAAATTTGCAGGCGTTTTATCCAAGACGTAAAAGTCTGTAGTTTCCCGTTGTAAACAGACCGTAGATGACGTCTCAAATTCTCGTGGGTTCAAATTTTGATGAGAGTTGATGAAAGTTTTCGTAGCGCACGCGGTAATATCCAGTCAACTGTCATGCAACTCTTGCTCTTGTTTGACAGAGGCATGAGAGTTGAGAAAACTCTCGTGCAAACTCTCACTTCTCTCATCAACTCTCATTGACCAGGGCTTAAAATATTATTTCGTTCTATACAACAATAAACCTTTCGCTTTATAAATATGCACTTCAATGATTCTACATCTACACTACACTATCATCACACTATTATTTAATACGCACATGAGCTTTGGGTGCATTGCAAACTATTATCTGCCTCGAGAATGAAGAACTATTCCTTCTTATATATTGTTTCATGTGCTGCCAGCTCCGCCTTCCAGTTGCATTTCACCATTATGCAAAGGACTTACATTCCCCGATTTCGCTTTTATTTTGCGTTTCACAACCACCACCACCTAGAGTATAAACATGTATAAATGTTTTTAAATTTCTGACAAAATACATCTGCACAGTTGCTCTAACCAACTAAGCTACGGGAAGGGAAGTTCTACGAGAAGGGAAGATCTACAAAGGGAAGATCCCAAAATCCTGATATTTACCCATGCACTTTACCAGGGCCGTAGCGAGCGGGGGGGAGGGGGGGGACACCCCCTGAAGCGAGTTCCTCGCGACGGCACTGCACTTTACATTGTCATCATCTTAGTGTTTATGCATGAGCTTGTGGTTAGAGCTCGACAACCACACTCTAGCTCCTCTGTGATACCTGATTAAATAAATTATCTATCTGATCTATCTATCTATCTGTCTGTAGCTCAGTTGGTTAGAGCGCTACACCGGAATCGCAGGGCCATGCATAGGTTCGATTCCTGCCGCTCCTGGTTAGATAAATCTACACAATTTCTATCCAACCTTGTTCCTGCGCTCTTTAATTAAAGGCTGATTTCCAGTTACGCGTTTTTTTATACGTACGTCTACGCACGTAAAACTTTAAATCCGTTTAAATGTTACTTATGAAATAACCAAATAAATAAAGCAACAGAATTTAGTGTTCCGCACGTTTTAGTATGCATTTGTTAACTTCTTTGTAAAATATTTAAAAAAACAGAAGGATTCAAAGTTTTACGTGCGTAGACGCACGTAAAAAAAACGCGTAACTGGAAATCAGCCTTAATTCACTTAATAGTTAAGTGAGTTTCATGCAGTAAACTTTAAACGGCAACTTCAAATGATGCTGGTAACTTTAGAAATGTTGACATTGATGGAAGAAAGAAAACTAAACTACATCTCTTTTATTTATTGTCTTCATCAGCCTTCAAATACAAAACTACTACACGGAAATATTTTAGGATCTCCTTGGTTGTAGATGTTTCTGAGCCTTCAATCACTTTTATTGGTGCACGATGCCACGATAGTGCTGAGTGAAACCAAACTATAATTAAGACTTCTACCAGAACGATCGGAACTGGTTAAAACGACGATATCAGTTTAACATAAAATAAACGGATAAAAATACTTACTAATACAATAATCAAAATAGCACCAACTGCTGCTCCTCCCGCTATTAATGCAATATGGGTTGTGCTTAAACCATCATCATCAGATTCAGGGGTAGTTGTGTTTGTGGGAGACGTAGGGGTAGCTGTGTTTGAGGGAGACGTAGGGGTAGTTGTGTTTGAGGGAGACGTAGGGGTAGCTGCGTTTGAGGGAGACGTTGGGGTAGGTCCGTTTGAGGGAGACGTTGGGGTAGGTCCGTCTGAAAGGGTCGTTAGCAAAGTTGTTAAGGGTGGTGTTCGGGAAGTTGTGTTTGAGCTGGTTGTGGCTTGGCTGGTTGTGACTGGGCTGGTTATGGCTGGCCTGGTTGTGACTTGGCTGGTTATAACTGAGGCTCGGCTGGTTATGGTTGGGATGCTTGCGGTTGGGGTGATTGTGGTTTGTCCTAAATATATTAAACAATTGAATAATTTACCAACATCAACTTATAAAAATGACGCGCTCTTCGTACGACTGCAGTATATTGAGGATGTTTATTTTATATCAAGTTTGTAACCATTTTGAAATTTAAATATAATTTGAATATGTGATAATATGCCTTTTTTATGATATCGCATTAATATAAGATAGTTAGGAAATATGAAATGTACACAATTAAGAAACAGGTTTTACAAAACTTGTATTGTATTTTCTGATCCTATGCCGATATACACAACAGTCAATATATATCATTGAACTATAAATAAACTGGAAGGCTAACTCAGGGGGGGGGGTTGAAGCCAGTGCATTTTAGTTTTTCTGAGTTATGAGCAGTGGCGGCGCCAGGGGGGGGGGGCAAATGCCCCCCCAAAATTATTTTTTGCCCCCCC